GGTCGCGGGGGCCCGGCGGGCTCTGCCGCCCACGAGCCGAGGCCGGCGTCCGGCGTCCGGCGCTGGTTTGACGTTTCTTGGCAAGATTTTTGTCGTTTGCGTCCGGCTCCCCGAGCCGAGCAAGAGCTGGCTCCTCTTAGGCGGGAGCAGGTCGGCCACGCCCCGCGGGGCTCCGGGGGCAGCCCGGGGCACACAGCAGGCGCTCAATAAGTGCGGAATGAATGAACGAGCCCGTGCCCTGCCCGGCGCAGCCCCGTCAGCCCCCCGCTCCCCGCCTGAGAGCGTCCTGACCACCCTCACCTACAGATTCGGATACCCAACAGGCCTTTAGTAGGCGCCTGCTGTGTACCAGGCTCTGCGCTGGGTGCTGCTGGGGCATCACAGCCTGGAAGGGTGACAGCTTTCAACTTGATAGAGTTCCCCGTGGCACAGAGGTCCCTGCGTGGCGCAGACGGTTAAGCTTTCCCGAAAAATTAGTGGTTCGAACCCACCCAGAGGCGCCTTCCAAAAGTTCCCAGCTTTGAAAACTCTATGGAGCAGTTCTGCTCCGTCACCTGGGGTCGCTATGACTCATAGGTCCTAATCGACTGCAAGGCGACTAATAACAACAAGGACAATGCCAGGAAGGGAATGGGGGGGCTGCCTGAACCCTGAATCTGAACTGAGACCTGAATGGAGTGAGGGAAAGAGCCATGAGGAAATCTGGGCTGGAGGACAGAAGCACGGGGGAGAAACCGAGATCCCTTGTAATAATGGTGGCTTTTTGGAGGTCCAGGGCAAAGGCTGCTCCACTTAGGCCCCCTGAGTCACTTAAAGAGGCTTTAGTCAGGGTTCATGTACTTCAGCTCGTTCGTTTGTTCAGCCAGAGGTTACTGAACATCTGTTCTGTGTCAGACCTTAGAGTGGGTGCCAGGGATACAGTTTAGAGCCGGGTCGGCCAGGGGAGGCCCTTTGGAGGGGTCCCAGAGGCAGTGAACCAAAAGACAGGAAGGAGACATCATGGGGACATCAGGGAAAGGAGTGTTCTAGGGAGAGAGAACAATTTATGCAAAGGCCCTAAGGCAGGAAGGGACTGGGTACCCTCAGGGGCCAGAAAAGCCGGTGTGGGGCAGGCTGAAGCAGGAGCGGATCACAAAGAGTGTCAGGACAGAGTTTGGATTTGATTTAAGGGCAAGGGGAAGCCACTGGAGCAGCACTGTCTGATAGAACGTTCTGCAATGATGAACATGCTCTACCTGGGCCGCCTAATACAGCAGCCACCACACTCCTCAGCCACCGCTCCCCTCAGCCCCTCAGCCACCACAGTCCTCAGCCACCACACTGCTCAGCCACCGTGCTCCTCAGCCACCGCACTCCTCAGCCACCGCGCTCCTCAGCCACCGCTCTCCTCAGCCACCACGCTCCTCAGCCACCACGCTCCTCAGCCACCGCGCTCCTCAGCCACCGCGCTCCTCAGCCACCGCGCTCCTCAGCCACCACGCTCCTCAGCCACCGCTCTCCTCAGCCACCATGCTCCTCAGCCACCGCTCTCCTCAGCCACCGCTCTCCTCAGCCACCATGCTCCTCAGCCACCAGGCTCCTCAGCCACCAGGCTCCTCAGCCACCAGGCTCCTCAGCCACCGCTCTCCTCAGCCACCACGCTCCTCAGCCACCACACTCCTCAGCCACCGCTCTCCTCAGCCACCACACTCCTCAGCCACCGCTCTCCTCAGCCACCATGCTCCTCAGCCACCACACTCCTCAGCCACCGCTATCCTCAGCCACCAGGCTCCTCAGCCACCGCACTCCTCAGCCACCGCTCTCCTCAGCCACCACACTCCTCAGCCACCGCTCCCCTCAGCCCCTCAGCCACCACAGTCCTCAGCCACCACACTGCTCAGCCACCACACTCCTCAGCCACCGCTCTCCTCAGCCCCTCAGCCACCACAGTCCTCAGCCACCACACTGCTCAGCCACCACACTCCTCAGCCACCGCTCTCCTCAGCCCCTCAGCCACCACAGTCCTCAGCCACCACACTGCTCAGCCACCGCACTCCTCAGCCACCGCTCTCCTCAGCCACCACACTCCTCAGCCACCACGCTCCTCAGCCACCACACTTCTCAGCCACCGCTCTCCTCAGCCACCATGCTCCTCAGCCACCAGGCTCCTCAGCCACCACACTCCTCAGCCACTGCTCTCCTCAGCCACCATGCTCCTCAGCCACCACACTCCTCAGCCACTGCTCTCCTCAGCCACTGCTCTCCTCAGCCACCGCACTCCTCAGCCACCGCTCTCCTCAGCCACCGCGCTCCTCAGCCACCGCTCTCCTCAGCCACCAGGCTCCTCAGCCACCACAGTCCTCAGCCACCACAGTCCTCAGCCACCGCGCTCCTCAGCGACCGCTCTCCTCAGCCACCACGCTCCTCAGCCACCGCGCTCCTCAGCCACCAGGCTCCTCAGCCACCGCGCTCAGCCACCGCACTCCTCAGCCACTGCCCTTCTCGGCCACCAGGCTCCTCGGTCACCACTCTCCTCGGCCACCAGGCTCCTCGGCCACCACACCCCTCAGCCACCAGGCTCCTGTGACTACTGAACGCTTGAAATGTGGCTGGTATGACTGAGGATCTGAATTTATCATTTAATTTTAATGAACTTAAACAGAGCCCTGTGGCTGGTGGCTACTGTACTGGACAGCGCAGCCCTGGGGAATTTTCTGTAGTTGACAGGGATGTGCACCAAGCCTGCGAGTAGTGGAGTAAGGTACTTAGGAAGTGTCTCAGTTAGGGTTCCTCAGAGAAACAGAACCAGTAAGGTATGTATGTATGCACACGCATGCGCACACACACACGCACACACAGCCAAAAACCAGTTGCCAAGTCACCAGGCCTTTCTGCCACGGCATCTCTAGATAGATTCTTCTTTCTCTCTATATATGTATACATATATGTATGTAAAATACTTGATGATATATATATGTATAAAATTTGGTGATACATATGTAATCAAAACCCCATTATTGACAAGTCAGTTCAACCCATGGCAACCCTATAGAACAGAGTAGAGATGCCCCATAGGGTTTCCAAGGAGCAGCTCTTGGATTTGAACTGCTGACCTTTTGGTTAGTAGCCAAGTGCTTAACCACTGTACCACCGGGGCAGCTTAGATATATATCACATCAAATATTACATATATATATATAGAGAGAGAGCGAGATTGATTTATTTTGAGAAATCGGCTCACACAATTTTGGGGGCTGGTCAATCTAAAATCTGTGGGTCAGGCAGTGGGCTGGAAATTCCATCAGTCTTGCGGCCCCAAATGAGTAGGTCAAGCGGGGGGGAAAGAGGAATTCTGGCAAGATGTGTATGGTCTGAAGGCAGAGTCATCCCTCGGGGCCTCCCTGTTGCTCTTAAGGCCCACCCATGAGGGTGATCTGCTTTACTTAAGGCCGCCTGGCTGAACTGCTCATCACATGCGAATATCTCCCAGCACCATCTCGTCTAGTGTATGAGCGAGCAGCGGGCCGAGAGCCGAGCCCAGCTGACACACACCGTTCACCGTCCCAGTGTGCTCTCCAGGGACAGCCAGCCCAGCCGAGCTAATGTGCTTGCGCCTGTCGTTCACAGTTGCTGGACCAAGGCATGAGCCTGAGGCTGCGTGGCTGGACCCGGTAGTGCCCGGCGGACCTGGAGCGTGGCACCACCCATGGTTGGGGACCACGGTGACCAGAGCAGCCCGGGCCGCCACCATGATGAAGCTGTTAGTGGCCAAGGTGCTGTGCATGGTGGGGCTGTTCTTCTTCATGCTGCTCGGCTCCCTGCTCCCCGTGAAGATCATCGAGGCGGACTTTGAGAAGGCCCATCGCTCCAAGAAGGTCCTGTCGCTCTGCAACACCTTCGGAGGTGGGGTCTTCCTGGCCACGTGCTTCAACGCTTTGCTGCCCGCTGTGCGGGAAAAGGTGAGGGGCCCCTGGGTCACGGGTGCTGGCAGCAGGCCTCGGTGCTCGGCGGCCGTGGCTCTCTGGCACGCCTTTAACGCCGACGCTGAGCTCGGTGGGGGCCTTGGCATGTAAGGGTGACAAAAAGTAGAAAACAAGTTTGCTGTGACTTGAGTTGGTTGCTCCGCCTCTCTGGGCTTTACCTGGTGTCTCCTAGTGCTGCTGTGACAGATACCACAAAGGGGTGGCTTTGATCAACAGAAATTTATTTTCTTACAGTTTAGGAGGCTAGAAGTCTGAATTCAGGGTGCTGGGTCTGGAGGGGAAACCCTGGTGGCGTAGTGGTTAAGTGCTACAGCTGCTAACCAAAAGGTTGGCAGTTTGACTCCACCAGCTGCTCCTTGGAAACTCGATGGGGCAGTTCTACTCTGTCCTGTAGGGTCGCTATGAGTTGGAATCGACTCGATGGTAACAGGTTTTTTGGCTCTAGGGGAAGGCTTTCTCTCTCTGTGGGCTCTGGGGGAAAGTCCTTGTCTCTTTTCAGCTTCTGTTCCTCAGTTCCTTGCTGATCGTCATGTGGGGTGTATTTTCCCCTCTATCTGTCCCTCCGTCTCGGGCCTCACCAGCTCCTTCTGTATCTCACAGGTGGTTGGTTTAAGATACACCCCACACTGATAGGATCTCATTAACATAACAAAGCAAGCCCTGTTCCCAGACGGGGTTAGGATTTACAGCATGTATTTTTGGGGAACACGATTCAGTCCCTAACACCTGGTGCAAGTGGTTCAGACCAGACTCACCGCTTGTCGCTGATGGATGTCCAGACCAGACCCCCAGCCCCGGGCCACATGCACTTTGTCCCCGGCTGGCTGGCGGGAGTGGCCTCCGTTCAATGCCTGTAGTAGTCACCTGTCGCTGTGTGAGGAGTCATGGCAACTTAGCGTCCTAAAACACCACACATTTATTATCTCGGAGTTGGTCTGTTTTTATATGACTCCCCATTTCCCCTCCCCCGCCCCGCTAACCACTCAGCGTGTATCTGCCTGATGGAGATGCTTCATACAAGTGGGATCACGCAGTATTTGTCCTTTTGTGCTCAGCTTTTTTCACTCAGCGTGATGTTTTTATGCTTCCTGTTCCCTGGCCCCAAAGGTCAAGTGTTAATTATTTGGAAAAAAAATCGAATTTGATTCCTACTCACACCGTACACCAGAATAAACTCCGATGGGTCAGACGGTGTAAACCAGGGGACCCTCCGACTCCGGTGATTTCCCTCCTCTCTCCTCCCCACTCAGTGTGTAGATTTAAATGTGAGCAGCGTTCTAGGGTGTCAGTAAGTCAGGTGATTATGGGATGCAGAGTCTCCTGGGGGTCAGTGGAAGCCCCTAATCCAGGGGTTCTCATCTAGGTGGTTCTGCCCCCAGGGGACACTGGAGATGTCTGGGGACATGTGTGGGTGTCACGACTGGGGGGTGCTACTGGCATCGAGTGGGTGGAGGCCAGGGATGCGTCTCAGCCCCCTGCAGTGCACAGGACGGCCCACCCCAGAGAGGGATCCGGCCCCCATGTCTGCAGCGCTGAGGTTGGGAAAGCCTGTGCTGTAGTGGATCATGTCAGACTTGGAGAACTGTGTCCTTTCCTGGCACCACCGTTTATTGAGTAACAGGTTTCACGAAGACAGAGCAGATGTGACACCTGCTCACTCTTGAGCACTTGGCCTGGCAGGAGGCGTGGCACCGTACTGACCAGCGCCATGAAGGACGAGAGCACAGCTCTGGGGAGCACGACACACGGGGATCTGGGGAAGTGGCCGCTGATCTGAGATAGCGACATGACGCAGGGCCCTGGGGCCAGAGGCAGCATCATGGGGCCAGGGTGAGTGAGCTCGGGGAGGGGGCACTGCACAGGCCGGGATCCGCCAGCCTTTCTCCCCAGGGCAGACTCGGGCTCCTGGCGGCCCCACGTGTGTCAGAGTAGAACTGGGCTCCGTAGTTTTCAGTGGCTGTAATGTTATGGAGACAGATCAGCAGGCCTTTCTTCCACGGCATCACAGGGTGGATTCGAACTGCCAACCCTGTGGTTAGCAGCTGAGTGCAGACCTTATCACCACACCAGGACATGATGGAGTTTTCAGGAATCACTCTGTATGCTGCCTGGGGAATAGCCCGTGAGTGAGAACTTAGAAAACTTTCACAGTGAATCAGCTGACCTGCTGAGGTCCTGGAGGCAGCAGTGGTTCGGGGGTGGAACTCTCACCTTCCACACGGGAGACCCAGGTTCAACTCCCAGCCAGTGTGCCTCGTGCACAGCCACCACCTGTCTGCCTGTGGGGCTTGTGTGGTGCTGTGATGCTGAACGGGTTTCGGCAGAGCGTCTAGACTATGACAGACTAGGAAGAAAGGCCTGGTGATGAACTTCTGAAAATCAGCCATGAAAACCTATGGATTCCAGTGGTCTGATTCACAGCCGATCATGGGGATGGTGCAGGACCGGGCAGTGTTTCATTCCGTTGGGCAGGGGGTCGCCACGATTCAGGGGCTAACTCAGCAGCAGCTAACAGCAACGAATGAAGTCCAGGACGCTGCCCACATTTAAGTCCACACACTGAGTGGGGAGGAGAGAGGAGGGAAGTCACAGGAGCTGGAGGGCCCCCCTGGTTTATGCTGTCCGACCCGTCAAGAATTTATTCCAGTGCACGGCTTGAGCAGGGATCCAACTCAATTTTCCAACACTTATGCAGGCTTTCTCTTACAAAAGAAGAAATTATGGCTCCCACCATCTCAGTCTCTAACCAAATGCTTTCAGTCTTACGTCTTCCCTTCTCGGCCACACCCGGAAGCAGCCATGTTTGAACCCAGAGGCAGTCAAAACGTATGTGCCATTTTTAAAGCTGCTCTTTTACACACACTGTTACATGTAAACGCGTTCCCACGTTGTTCATCTGGCTTCATAAGCACAGCTTTTTATGGCCACCTGAAAGCTGTAATATTTCACTGACTTCGTGTGTCGGTTGTCACTAAAACATCCCTTATTTTCGGGCCTTTTCATTGCGTGTGGCTTTTTGCTCTGGCCATTGTAAACAGCACTGCAGGGGACATCTTTGTGCATAAGGCTTGTCGCCTCTTTTCAGTGATTTCCAGGGATGGAGTACCTGAGGCATCCTTTCAGCAAATATGTGTTGTTGCTGTTGGGTGCTGCCGAGCCAATTCCAACTCACGGCTGCCCCACGGGACAGAGTAGAACTGCCCCATGGGGTTTTCTTGGCTGTGATGTTTACGGGAGCAGATCACCAGGTCTTTCTCCCACGGAGCCACTGGGTGGGTTCTAACTGCCAACCTTTTGGTTAGCAACCGAGCACTTAACTGTTTGCCCCACCGGGGCTCCTTAACAAATATGTACTGAGCACTTTGCACTGCATAGTGCTGGGTATACAGTGGTGATCAAAACTGACATGGTACCTGCAGTCGCGGCTCATGTTCGAGATCAGTGCCGTTCAACGGACCTTTCTGCCATGAGGGACGTACCCCACACCTGCGCCGTCCACCACGGGAGCCCCTTACCCCCCGTGGCTGAGTGTGTGTGACTGGAGATCAGAATCTGGAATTTTGTTTCGCTTTAAATTTGAATCGCCACATGGGGCTAGCGGCAGCCATAGATGGTCAGGCGCAGGTTGTGAGGGAGAGACAGATGCGAAGTGAACAATCAAGCACACACACACACATCAAAGTCTCCCCCAGGTCCTGCTGACACAGGGCCAGATCCTTCTCTGGGTGGGCCGTCCTGTGCACCGTAGGGTGCTGAGTGACATCCCTGGCCTCCACCCACTCGATGCCGTAGCACCTCCCCAGTTGTGACACCCACAGCTGTCCCCAGACATCGCCCAGTGTCCCCTGGGGGGTGCAGAATTGCCCCGGCTGAGCCCTGCCCCAGGTGAATGAGAGGAGACTCCGTGGACATAGGGCCCAGGTGTCGGTAGTGTCTGAAGCTCCTCTGGTGATTTCTGTGGCCGGCCATGCTGAGAACCACGGCCTTGAGCCTCCCCTGGGGGCTTGGGGGGGCCTCTATCGTGAGAACTGCTCTGTGTGTGTGTGTGAGTACACGTGTCTGCGTGTCAGCGTGTCTGTGCATCTGTGTGTGTGTCTCTGTGTCTGTCTCTCTGTTTGTGTCTCTGTGTGCCTGTGTTTCTCTGTGTGTCTTTGTCTCTGTCTGTGTGTCTCTTTGTCTGTCTGTCTTTGTGTTTCTGTGTGTTTGTCTCTGTGTCCGTCTCTGTGTGTGTCTGTGAGTCTCTGTGTGCCTGTGTGTTTCTCTCTGTGTGTCTTTGTGTCTGTGTGTGTCTCTGTGTCTGTCTGTGTGTCTGTGTGCCTGTGTTTCTCTGTGTGTCTTTGTCTCTGTCTGTGTGTCTCTCTGTCTGTCTTTCTTTGTGTCTCTGTGTGTTTGTCTCTGTGTCCGTCTCTGTGTGTGTCTGTGAGTCTCTGTGTGCCTGTGTGTTTCTCTCTGTGTGTCTTTGTGTCTGTGTGTGTCTCTGTGTCTGTCTGTGTGTCTCTGTGTCTGTGTCTGTGTGTGCCTGTGTTTCTGTGTGTGTCTCTGTGTCTGTGAGTCTCTGTGTCTGTGAGTCTGTGTGGGTGTTTGCTGGCTGTACTGACTGTCATGACGATGGGAAGGAAGAGGGTGCCGTGAACTCCGGGCCGCCTGGTTTGGACCGAGTCCTTGGACAATGCGTGTGAACCGAGGCCTGGAGGATGAGAATAAAGCATCCATGATAATGCTGAAGGAGGAACGTTCTGGACAGAGCGGACAGTGAGTTCTCAGGCCCTTAGGCTGGAGAGAGCTCGGTGTGTGCAAACATCTTCCCGAGGCCAGGGAAGAGTAACCTGGGCACTGGGGGAGCTGGACAGCGGCCAGAGCCGTGCCGTCCACTGTGGTAGCCACTCGCCAAGTGGGGCTGTTCAAGTTCAAATCCATTCAAACCAAATGAAGTTCAGCATCCCGTCCTCAGCCACCTGGGCACAATTCCAGTGCTCACTGGCCTCACGTGCCTTAATGGCTTCCATACGGGTCAGCACAGATGTAACATGTTGCCGTCATTCCAGAAAGTTCTCTCCGTTGGTGCTGATCCGAGCAATCTAATGGGGATGGCTGAACGTGGGGCCCGTTCACCCAGGAGGTCGGAGTAGTGGGAGGAGCTCCGGGCAGCCCTAAACCCCGAGTCATGGCGCCCCCATGTGTGTCAGGGTAGAATTGTGCTCCACAAGGTTTTCAATGGCTGGATTTTCAGAAGTAGATTGCCAGGCCTTTCTTCTGAGGCACCTCTGGGTGGACTCGAACCTCCCACCTTTCGGTGAGCAGGGAGTGCCTTCATCTTTTGCACCACCCAGGGACCCCGCCACAGGGACAGCAGAGCAGAATAAGCAGCTGGGGTTCCGGGTACACAGGACAGAAGGAGGAGCGCAGACCTGAGTTGTGGTGTCCACACCCCAGGCCCAGGCCCAGAAACCACAGACCACCTCCAGACCACACACACTTTGTAAACTCGCCACTTGGTACAGCGGAGACACCAGCTGCCCCCCGGGCCCTGCCCCCGCCCCAGCGCTGCACCCACAGGAACCACCATCCTGGGCAGCCTGGGATGGCCTGACCCTCGGAACCCCTGAGCTTCCGTCTTTGTTTTGGTTCCCTCGGGGCTGCCCCAAGAGAGTACCATGAGCTGGGTGCCTTCAAACAACAGCAGTTTACTCTCTCAAGGTTCTGGAGGCCACAAGGTCAAAATCAAGGTGCCGGCAGGGCCGCGCTCCCTCTTAAGGTAAGGCTCTAGGGCAGGATCCTTCCTTGCCTCTTCCAGAGTCTGTTGGCCCCATCACACCAGTCTCTGCCTCCGTCTTCGTATGGCCGTCTGCCCTCCGTGTCTTTGTGTATCATCTTTTCTGTCTCTTATAAGGACACTCTTCATTGGATTTAGAGCCCACCATCATCCAGGAGCCCTGGTGGCGCAGTGGGTAAGAGCTTGGCTGCTAACCAAAAGGTAAGCAGTTCCAATCCACCAGCCGCTCCTTGGAGACCCTATGGGGCGGTTCTATTCTGTCCTATATGGTTGCTATGAGTCGAAATCAACTCGATGACAACGGATTTGGTTTTTTTTTTTAAATCATCCAGAAGGAGTTCCTTCATTTCATGACCTTTGCAAAGACCATGATTCCAAGCAAGGCCACATTCTGAGCTTCCAGGTAGATGTAGGTTTTAGAGGCCACACAGTTCAGCCCAGGACAGGACTGTAAACTTTTTTGGTTGATGTGGTCGATGTAACACAAGACTTCACGATTTCCTTCGTAATTGACTTTTTTGTCATCCCCCAAACCTTTCATGTGAACTGGGACTTCTTTCTCTCTCTTTTTTTTTTAATTGTGGTAAAAATATACACAGCAAAACCTTTACCGATTCAACAGTTTCCACGTGTACAGTTCAGTGACGTTGATACCATTCTTCGCAGTGGGCAACCATTCTCCCTAGCCTTTTCCAGATCGTTCGACCACCATGAACATAAACTCAGTGTCCCCTGAGCAAGAGCCTCGCCCCCTCCCTCTCGCCCCTGGTAGCCACTAGTGATCTTTGGTCCTTTTGTGACGGACGTATTTTGCCCAGCCTGGTGTTTTCAGGGTTCATCCACGTCGTGGCACACGGCAGGACTTTATTTCTCTTTACGGCTGAGCAGTATTCCATTGTGTGGATGGATCACGTTGTGCTTATCTGTCACCTGTTGATGGACACTTGGGTTGTTTCTGTGTTTTGGCTGTTGTGAAGAATGCTCCTATGAATACTCGTGTCCCAAATCCCCCCAAAAACCAAACCCACTGCCGTGGAGTCAATTCTAACTCATAACGACCCTATAGGACAGAGTAGAACTGCCCCATAGGGTTTCCAAGGAGCAGCTGGTGGATTCAAACTGCCGACCTTTTGGTGAGCAGCCTGAGCTCTTAACCACTGCTCCACCAGGGCCCCAAGCTGAGTAATATTCCGTTGTGTGGATGTATGTCAGTGAACTGGGTACTTCTGAGCTTTGCTAATTGAACCATTAAGTTTGACAAATCCTGTTGTGGCCGCCTTTGCCTCTGAACCTCTCTCCTGCATGTCATCCTCCCCAGCTCCAGAAGGTTCTGAGCCTTGGCCACATCAGCACCGACTACCCTCTGGCCGAGACCATCATGATCCTGGGCTTCTTCATGACGGTTTTCCTGGAGCAGCTCATCCTGACCTTCCGCAAGGAGAAGCCGTCCTTCATCGACCTGGAGACCTTCAACGCCGGCTCGGACGCGGGCAGCGACTCCGAGTACGAGAGCCCCTTCATGGGCGGCGGGCGGGGACACGCGCTCTACGCTGAGCCCGCGCCCCATGCGCACAGCCACGGCCTGAGCGTCCAGCAGCTGTCCCGCTCCAGCCCGCTGCGCCTGCTCAGCCTGGTCTTCGCGCTCTCGGCCCACTCCATCTTCGAGGGTCTGGCCCTGGGCCTGCAGGAGGAGAGCGAGAAGGTGGTCAGCCTCTTCGTGGGCGTGGCCATCCACGAGACGCTGGTGGCTGTGGCCCTGGGCATCAGCATGGCCCGGAGCGCCGTGCCGCTGCGGGACGCGGCCAAGCTGGCCGTCACGGTGAGCGCCATGATCCCGCTGGGCATCGGCGCCGGCCTGGGCATCGAGAGCGCGCAGGGCGTGCCCAGCAGCGTGGCCTCGGTGCTCCTGCAGGGTCTGGCGGGCGGCACGTTTCTGTTCGTCACCTTCTTCGAGATCCTGGCCAAGGAGCTGGAGGAGAAGAGCGACCGACTGCTCAAGGTGCTGTTCCTGGTGCTGGGCTACGCCGTCCTGGCCGGGATGGGCTTCCTCAGCTGGTGAGCGTCTCGGCCGCCGCCATTGCCGCCCTCCTCCCGCGAGGGGGCACACTCGGCCCGGGCGGCTGTTCCCCGCGCCCAGGGGCTCCTCGGACCCCGCATCCTGAGCCTCAGGGCACTGCTAGTACGTTTAAAAATACTCTCAAAAGTGTCAGCCCGTCCTGTGTGACCACGTTGACTGAGGGCGCAGGGGGCGCTGGGAGGTGGGGGCTGGGGCAGGAGTCAAGGGAGGCGCTGGGGACAGCCCTCCCCGCCCTCACACACCCCTGCCTGTGCACAAGGACCCCAAGCCGTCCCACCTGCACCTGAGTTTGAGCGGCGTTGGGTCAGCCACCGGAGCCCCGGCCGGGGGGAGCCCATTTTCTGCCCCCTGCTTGGCTGCTGACCCCGTACCCACCCCTGGGCCTCATCAGTCCTGAAGAACACTGGGGTGCTGCAGCAGGGTTCATTCGAGTTTCTGTCGGCTGCGGTGGGACCCCTGGGTGGTTTCCAGAAGGAGCCCCTCTGTGCCGAAGGTCCGTTCTGCAAGCTGCTGGCCAGCCTTAGCCTCCGCCACCTGAGGCTGTGCCTGCAGGGCGCGGGGAGGGCTGGGGACTTGCCCTCAACCCCCACCGTGTGGCTCCAGCTGCTCCTCAGGAGCACCCCTCCTCCCTTCTGGTGAGGCCCCCCGGGAACGAGGAAGCTGCTTTTGACATGGGACCAGGGCCAGAGGCTGGCCGGTCCCTGAAGACTGCTGGGCTGGGGAGTGGCTGTCGAGTGTCACCGTTTATCCCGAGAGAGCAGAGGCCCGGGACTCCAGATGCCGCCCAAGTGGGGCTGGAAGCAGCTTGGCCATGTATTCTGGGGCTCTGTGCACACCCAGGTTCCCCAGAGGGATAGGGCCCCACCATGTGATCCTCCCCAGCTGCCCAACCAGTGCAGACCTCAGATGCATAGTCCACAGGTAGGAGATCGCAGGAGCCACGGGACGCCTGGCTAGGGGCCCTCTGCTCCCGCTGCCTCATAGCAACCGAGCTAATTAGCCTGCCTGTTGTCGCGGTAACCCTGCTGGTGTCTCGGTAACCCCTGCTGGTGTCTGAGGAGCTGCTTCTTTTTAGGGGATCCTGCTCCACCTGCCTTGGAGCTGCCCCATCCACCCTGGGAACAGGCAGCGGGCTGGGCAGGTGTTCATGCAGCCTGGCTGCCCCCTTGCCCCGTCCTGAGCCCCTGCACCCCGTCTCTGGGCCACGGTTTCCCCAGCCCTGAGGGCTTGCTCATGCATACCACTCCTGCTTCACCCACCCTCCCCTGAGCTGGCAGTGGGAGGGCCCTGTGCTCCCCTTTCTAGCATCCTGGGTTCCCTCCTGGCACCACCCCACTGCCCACACCCGTGAGACCACGCAGAGCAGGACCCCCTACGCTTCCCGACAGGCAGAGGCTCCTATCCGGCCCCGGCCCCGTCCCCATCCCCGTAGGGAGCTCCAGGACCAGACCCTGACTCACGGCAATCCCATGTATGTCACAGTGGGCTTGGGCTCTGCAGACTTTCAATGGCTGAGTTTTTGGAAGTCAATCACCAGGCCTCTCTTCTGCCTCTGGGTAGACTCAAACCTCTAACCTTGTGACTAGCAGCTGAGCGAGTTCATTGTTCACACCGCCCGGGGATTCCTTGGGGGCTCCTGTTGTTGTCAGTCAGTTCCTGCCCCACAGGGTTTCCAAGGCTGTAATCTACGGAAGCAGACTGCCACATCTTTCTCCCATGGAGTGGCTGCTGGTTTCGACCGCTGACCTTTTGGTTGGCAGCTGAGTGCTTTAACTGCTGCACCTCAGGGCTCCTTTTGCGGGCTCCAGGGCCAGCTAGTAATTGCTGCTTCTCAGGCGGGCACCCGGCGGGCCAGCCTGTTCCGCCCCTCAGCCCCATCAGGCACCCGGGGAAACCGCCTAGGAGCCGTGTGGCCTTCTTTGTTCCTTCTGGGGAGCAGGGCAGTGGGGGCCGGGCCTGCTTCCCATCACCGCCGCCACCGTAAATAAGCCGGACTTCAAACCCAAACTCCCGTGGGTCCCTGGAGCCGTGTTGGAGGCCCCCACATCTCCAGACAGGCCCCCGCCCTGTCACCGTGAGAAGGATCGGGCTGGTTTCCAGAAACTTCCACCTGAGTCTTTTTCGGGGAACCCACCTCTGAACCCCACCCCTGTGCCTGAGAGCGACCCAGTGGGTATGGGAACGCCACTGGCACCCTAAACACGGTGCTTGTGCCTGTGCCCCGCACCCACTCCACTCTGCCCAGGAACCAGCAGCTTCCCCAGCCTGGCCAGCACCCCATGGCAGGCAGGTCTTGGGGGCTGCTGGGCCGCGGCCTCAGAGACATGGAGTCTGCGCTGAGCTGCGGGATGTCTGGGGAGGGCCAGGGAGCACCTGCTCCCCCCAATCCAACAGGAATGCCATGTGGGGCAGAGGGCGTGGCATCAGGGTCCAGTGCATGCTATCCCAGGGCCTCCCAGCCATGTCCCCCTCACTGCAGCGGGGTCCCTGCCCCCACTTCCCTCCTGACAGCCACCAGTTCCCTGGGTGCCCCAGGAGCACCACCAGGCCTGCCCACCCCACTGTGGCCTGGCCACCCCACCAGAGCCTCTTGGGCCAGCCTGGGGGTCCCGGGCCTGGCTGGGGATCCCAGTGCAACCCCGTCCTTCCCCTAGCTGGCTTCCAGGCCAGCCAGCCTAGCTAAGACACTGCCCTGCCGGACAGGTGCCGTGGACTGTGGTGAGCCCTGCCGCCAGGGTCCCCGCCGTGCCCCAAGTCCCCGTGTCCCCAGTGTCCTTTCTGGCTCAGCGGTGTGGGCCTCGTTAGACAGTCCAGCATTCCTGCCGCCGAGCCTTTGCTGAGCCCCGGCCCTGTCATGACACCTGACTGGCACGCCCAGGGTCAGCCCGGCCTCGGGTGCCCCCTCTGCACTTTTCCCCGGAGTCCTGCAGGCCTGGCACACCTGCCTCCAGGCTCCCCCACCACCACCACCGCGGACCCTGGGGCCATGCAAGGTTTGGGAGGAGAGGGGCTGTCACAGCGGGGATACAGCCTGCTCCCCCCATCTGCCTTCACCTGCTCTCCAGGCCCCCATCTGCCAAGGTTGGAAGTGAAAAGTCCAGACTCAGCCCGAGCTCCCACCTTCAGAGACGCGCAGGGACAGCACAGAGGCGGCGCGGCTGGGGAATGGAACTCTTGCTGCTGGGTCAGCGTTTCCCACTTTGGCCGAGGAAGTCTGTGGTGGGGTGAAAAAACGTGGAATCACGTTGTATTCAGTTGACGTCCAGAGAAGCAGAGTGCACCTCGAGCCCTGAACCTGCCGGCCCCAACACCAGGTGTCCCTGGCACCACCGGCACCGCGGGGCAGACCCACGTCGGCCTGGAATCTTCAGTCCACTGAGGCTGGGAGATGTTGCGGGGCTGTGAATGCAGGGTTTCTCCTTCAGGGGCCACTTTTCCTCGACTTGGAGGTCCTCACCCGGGTGATTCTGCCCCCAGGGGACACTGGGTGATGTCTGGAGACATTTGTGGTCACAACCGGGGCAGGGGGGTTACTGCTGGCATCAAGTGGGTGGAGGCCAGGGATGCTGCTCAACACCCTACAGTGCACAGGACGGCCCACCCCAGAGAAGGATCTGGCCCCACGTCGGCAGGGCCAAGGCAGAGAGACCCTGAGTTAATTATTTGGAAAAAAAATTGAGTTTGATCCCCCCTCACACCGTATGACAGAATAAATTCCTGATGGGTCAGACGGTATAAACCAGGGGGACCCTCCAGCTCCTGTGACATCCCTCCTCTCCTCCCCACTCAATGTGCGGATTTAAACGTGGGCAGCGTCCTAGGACGTCAGGAGGTCAGATAATTGTGGGACGCAGAGTCTCCTGGTGGGCCAGTGGAATCCCCTAACCCAGAGTTTCTCACCAGGAGGCGATTCTGCCCCCAGGGGACACTGGGCAGCGTCTGGGGACATTTGTGGTTGTTACAACGGGGGGGGGGCTACTGCTGGCATCAAGTGGGTGGAGACCAGGGATGCTGCTCAACACCCTACAGTGCACAGGACGGCCCACCCCAAAGCAGGCTTCGCCCCCGTCAGCAGTGCCAAGGGGATCCTGCAGTAACTCATAGGAAGACCCAGCTGAGTGACAGCGGGTTGTGTGGAGGGTCCCCTTTCCCTTTGAGATTCTGTGATGCAGAGAGAGACACGTAGACTCCCGACACACAGGTGGTCAAATGCACCCCAATGACTAGACGACGACTATAGCCTGGACATGTGCGTTCCCAGATAGCACCGAAGGAGCTGGCGGTGTGTTTTCTTAAAAAAATCTCCGAGCAACAGACCCAGGACCACCCCCACCCATAGCCTCACCCCACACCCCTTGGATGCTCTGGGCAGGGCTAGGTTAAGGTCACACCCAGCCTGGCAGGCCAGGGCTGCGGGCTTCCTGCAGACTGGGTCAGGGCCTTCCAGAAGGTACGGCCCAGGCGGCTCTTCTCTTGGGATCGGAAGGGGGCGGTAGGGGGTGTGTAGGGCGGTGTGGGGTTTCTCTGGGACTTTGCTCCCAGCACTGGGCCTGGGTCTCGGGCTGGGCAGATGGAGAGGCAGCCTTAGGAAGCCGCCGGCCCCACTGCCCTCCCCGCCCCGCCAACTGCTCCGTTTGGCGGTTCACGGCCCACAGATCCACCCGGATGGAGTCACTGGGGCCCCCCCAGATCTGGAGACGAAGAATCATGAGGCGGCCCCGAGCATTCTAGGTGGAATCAGCGTAATAATAGCGCGTCGGTCTCTGTTTTCTCGTTTGTGTTTCTGTGGAGACGTTATTAGTGGTGGGGTGGGATGGGGACCCCAGCGTCTGGGCCCGCTAGTGACTCGCTGGGGCCCGGGAAGCAAGCGAGGGAGAGACAGTGCCTCGCAGACCCGCTGGCCACGGCTCTGAACCCTCAGGGGCATGTACCCACCTGCCCCAGCCACTCTCCTTCACCAGCTCAGGCCCTGAGCTGGGTGTCACCCACGGACCCCCTGGCTTGCACCCGACTCTTGGCTTGCCTGTCCAGAGCTTGATGGGGGCGGGGAGGGGGCTGACTCCCAGGGCA